AAAAAAAAAAAAAAAAAAACAGAATCTGTAACTTCCGCCAAATCCATCAAATTCAAACGTAAAAGATTCACAAACCAAGCAAACGAGTTGATTGCAAAATAAATAATAATATTCTGTAGAAAACCGTGTACTGAAATCAGGTGACAAACAACCTAGAGTGCAAATAACAGTTATAGAAAAATGGGAAGATTAGGGGTCCTAATCTTGATCAAGTATATAACAGATTTCTTACAATGTGCTAAACAAGTCAGAAAAGCAAAAACGTGATTAGTCACAAGTCAAAAAGTCGTTAGGCGTGCACTTTTTTCCAGGTGTTTTTTCCTCTTTGGGTAGATAGATGACTCTGAAAATTTGAAGGAAATAAAAATTCAAGAACCTAAGATACTCTCAGCATTTGCTATGAACCAGACAGTGTCTTGAAAGGCCGTCTTAACCATGGATATATGCTTCGAGAAATGTATATACGTGGCTCCACCTCCAGGCACCAAGCCTTTGGCCACATATGCAACAACAAATGTTTCAGGCACAAATCCATAAACTTGAGTAAATTACGATACTTTCCGATGGCCATCCTTTAGTCTTGTTTCTGCACAATGTAAAGAAGAAGAAATATGTTGAATTTCTACACAAGTTGTTCATCCAACAAACATGAAAAGATTATGTCAAATCTAAACTACCTTATACCACTCGTTCCCCAGGGCTTAGGGCTTTATAGACGCTATAGCAGAAATCAACCACAAGACATTAGTAGGTTTTGATTCAAGATCTATAGGCGATTCAGGGTACAGATCACCGTCTCCAAAAAATTTAATTGTCCCATCATTTTAGAAAAACAACAAAAAATCCACACACCTTTGGGTCCAAGTGTAACAGAAACAACATCAGCAAAGCCTGTTGACCGCAGAGAGCAAGGCATCTTTGCATTTCCTATCAAATACAATAAGAATCGAAATGCTGGATGCTACAGGGTGAACCAATAAGAACCGAGACGATTATTGTATCAGGGAGTAAACATATGAGAATAGTGCGGTAGATCAAACTCCAACCTTTAGCCTACTTCGAAGCAAATCTGCTTCCTGCAGCTTCTCCTGAAACTTTGTCGAATTACAAGCAACACTTCAATTTAACAAAAGATTGCACATTTTTCTCTCAATCATGGCCAACCAAGCCCAGTTTTATTCTTTCTACAATCTCTAATAATGCAAACAAAAATAAAACATAAGTGATTTATCCCACACATCATGTTACTCAAATGCATTTCAGGCAAAAAGATATGAAAATTCCACCAAAATAATAACAAAAACAAAATAAGAAAGAAAAAATACATGTTCTTGGTAGCTGAATGAGAGTTGAGCTGGAGGGCAGGAGCATTGTTGGAAGCGAGCGAGTGAGCGTGAATGTCAGGGAGGCACTGGGGGATGTCGGGTGGGGGTAATCTCAGCCGCAGATCTTGGATCGAACGGTAAAGAGAAGCCGATTTGGATCGAGCTCTTGGGCGTAGACGAGTTGCTCTGGAGTGAAGATAAGAGGGTTTGCATTTGCATCGTTGTCATCATCGCTCCACCCGCCGCCGCCGCCTCAGACGACGTCTGCCTCCCACGCAAGTAGATCAACCATTTAAGAAGCTCTGGCTTGGATTTACGGTTAGCTTGTGAAAATTGCAGAGAGCTACCGATGTAATTGGATTTTTCCCAAAAATTTCAGACTAAAATTGAATCATGTATTTTGGACTGAATCAAATAACTGAGCTTTCTTCTTCTTCGTCATCGGGTTGTTGCTTCTCTCATCGGTTCTTGCTTCACCTTAATCATGAGAGGAAAATAGGGTTTGGAATAATTATGGGTTTATTTTAAGATTCATATGTATGTTTAGGCTAAATTGTTAAATGAGAAAAGTTCAAGTAAATTTATTAACAATTTATAAAGTTTTTTCATTAATTCTTTCTTTTTTATAACATTCATTTTTTATATTTTTTATTTAATTAAATAAGAAAAAGTACATGTGGCAATCATCTAAGGGGCACCTATTGTTAAGTAGGTACAAGTCAAGTACAAGGTTACGTGACTGTAGAATCACGGAACTAAGTAAGCAAAACTAGAGAGACAAATGAGATAATAAGTCCTAAGGCTAGGTCTTTAATTCCCTATGCATTCCCGAGTGCAAAAGATATGAAAAGGTCGAAACTTTAACAAGAACGAAACTCAACACGCACATTCCGACAAGAAACTAATTTCACCTCTTAAAACTAAGTAAGCAAAAATAGAGCAGTCAACAAGATAATAAGCCTTAACACTACGTACTTACTTCCCTATGCACTCTCGAGCGAAATAAACGTGAAAAGATCGAGTCTTTAATATAAATAAGAATCACCGGAAAGTACGGGAAGAGCCTCCACACGTTTGTCTAAAGAGAAAATATATATAAAAAAGGTTATTCCAAAAAGGGAAAAAGAAGAAAATGAAAAGTAGGTTCTCAAAATACAAAAGCACAAATATATTTATATTTGCCCAACAAAACAAACGCTTCTCTCACACGCATTTAATGAAATTCTGGACTTGCCAGGTCTCGAAACATGGTTCGCAGCGAGTGTGGAGTGTGCATAGAGCTGGCCCGGGTCGCAGGGAGTGATCTAGGCCGCATCGGGTCGGGACTCGCGTGCTCGTGGGATGGAGCTTGTTCGCGAGTGGCACAGATGGACGGGTGTAGACTCATGACCTCGCAGAAAAGAGTCACGTGGCGAGTGCGGTAGCAGACTGAGAGAGAACTCGCGCGCCCGCGAATGGGGTTTCGGGTCACGAGTCCTTATACTTTCGACGCACTCTCAAGGTCACAAGTCAAAGGCTACTCGTGAGTGGCCTTGTCCTTAGTAGCATGCTCGAGCAGTCACGAGCTGGTGCCCAAGCAGCGAGTGTTGGGATTGCCTTGGTGATGAACTCGCGTGCCCGCGAACGAGCACTCGGGTCGCGAGTGTTGTCTCATTCTTAGGGTTTCCTCGGGTGGGCGTCTCGCGCGGTCGCGAGCTACGGCTCGGGTTGCGGGTATGAAGTCTTCTCGCGGATCGCGGGGTCTTGATTCTATCTCGGATGATTGCTCGGACGGTTTAGGTGGCTTAGAAAATGGTTCAGATATGGTTCAGACATGGCTCGAATATAACTCGGACGGTTCATTTTTCCAAGCTTTGCAATGTGGACCTAATCAACACCAAAAGAGACGAGAAAATATGGCAAAACACAAAAAACACCAGACGAAAACAAAAATACACGAAACACGAAAAAATGGACCGGTTAATTCTAAAACGAACCTAAAAAGGACGCCACTAAGGAACAAAAAAACACACGAAAAATACCACAAAAATACAACAAACAACTACACCACACTTAACTCTTTGCTTGTCTTCAAGCAAACAAGACAACAAGAAGCTCGAAAAGAAAGATCGAAAACCTCATAGATAATGATCATGTGAAATGCAACTCTCTTAATCCTCCGGTTATCCATATAATTAAATCAAATTCAAATGCACGGTCCCCACTAAATGAATTCATACAAAACAAAAACTCGCTATATTCTACACATAATTTACTCCTTTCAAATTCCTATTCCACATATACATGCACTAAACCAACAAGTCCAACTCCTTTTTTTTCTTTATATATTTTGTTTTTTTTACATGAGTGACTTTTTTCCAAATTTCCGTACTCATTGATCTGATCCATCTAGAAGAAGACTAACCGGGTCAAGCGGATTCCAATCCTTTCAACTCTCACGAGCTCATTTGATTCATTTTTTTCCGTGAGCAACCTTTTTCCAAAAAATATTTCTAGACAATTATTATCTAGGTTCGTCTCGAGGGATTTCCTCGAGTCTCCTAGACCGGTTTCTCGGGCTCATTATCTCATTCCACAAAATTGGTCGAAATAAGAGGAGTCTAATCTTTACTTCCTCGCAAACTCACATTTTAATCTTTTTTATATATATTTTTCTTTATTTTTCGAAGGGAGCAACAAGGATACATCAAGAATACAGTACATGAACATTAACAATTAACAAGACGTACCACAAGTATCTGATCTTGGGTTCTGTTAGGAACGTCAAACAACATGCACAGTATTGAACTTTATCGAAATA